GTGTGTGTGTGTGTGTGTGTGTGTGTGTGTGTGTGTGTGTGTGTGTGAGAGAGAGAGAGAGAGAGAGAGAGAGAGAGAGAGAGAGAGAGAGGAGAGACTTTTTTATTTTGTTTTTAATTTTGTTTTTTGCAATAAAGTCACACTCACCATGTATCCCAGAAAGACCTTCATCTCATCTCACAGCCCTCTCCCTTACGTTGCAGAATGGAGAATCAAGCAGTCTCCTTCAATTCTTTTTTGTTTGTTTGCTTGTTTGTTTTTTTTTTTTTTTCGAGACAGGGTTTCTCTGTGTAGCTTTGGAGCCTATCCTGGCACTCGCTCTGGCCTCGAACTCACAGAGATCTGCCTGCCTCTGCCTCCCGAGTGCTGGGATTAAAGGCATGTGCCTTCAATTCTTTTATAAGGCGCCAGTTCCATCCATGAGGGCAAACTTCTTGGTCTTGGTCATTTCCTTCCAGTCTCACCTCTGATCACTACTGCCTAGCGGGTTAGATTTCAGCACAGGATACAAGAGGGACTCAAACATTTATATTGTAGTTCCAAAAGTACCCCACAGCACCATCTGTTAATCACTGAAACTCTAGACATTGATGTGCCTGTTTCCACCACCTGATGTGATCACTTCAAACTCCTGTGCTCTGGGGTAGAAAGCACAAGTGAAAGCAGCCTGGGATTTGAACTTAGCAGCCCAGAAAGCTGCTGCCTGCCAGCTGTGTAACACTGGGGAAGCCTTTAAACTAATATACACAGTGGACGTTTTAGTAACATGTTCAACACAGGGTTGTTATTTCAAAGAAGATGGTAAAAGACATTTCATACTACAGAAACTCTAATTTATTTAACTGTAATCCCAAGACTGGAGTCTTTTTTTTTTTTTTTCTTTCTGAGACAGGGTTTCTCTGTGTAACTGCTCTGGCTGTCCTGGAACTTAATCTGTAGACCAGGCTGGCCTCGAACTCACAGAGATCTGCCTGCCTCTGCCTCCCAAGTGCTGGGATTAAAGGCATGTGCCACCACTGTCTGGTTTAGCATCTAGTTCTTAAGAAATTTTCTAATACTAATAGAAAACTCAACCCCAAACATAGCAGGGGGTTTTGTTGGTTCTCATGACTCAGAATTGAAGAGGAGTGTCTGCTGCAGGAGAAGTTCTGTCAGGGGGATGAACTGTTGTCCTGGGTACTACTGTCTGTCTTTTCACCCACTTGCCCACACGTGATTCCATCTTACCCTCCTGAGATGTCAGTCACATGTCAGTGTGGCTCCATCTTCCCTTCCAAAGATGTCAGTCACGTGTCAGCTGCTGTAGACAACATGCAGTTCTGCTAACAAGAACGGATTTCTTTCTAGCAGTTCCTGTGCAAACCACAGGGCTCACCCTAATTGGACCCAGTTAGATGGCATGCTCATTTCTAAAATGAACTGGTTAAAATGACTGACTCAATATGAGTCACAGGAGCCTTCTCCAGGGCCTGGTGGCATAGGATTGTGGGACTTTCAACCAAAAAGAGGAGAGCAGGCACTGGGTAAAAAGAAAAGAAAAGGTCATTCTACAAGGGACACTCAATATTTCTGAGATGATGCCATTTTATTCTGAGTATGCTGGACTCAGGAGAGAAAGCTTTCACAGAAGAAACTGCCTATTTGCTGTAGTCATCGTCTCCTTCCTCTTGTTTGTTTGAAGCCCATAATTATAACATGTGGTGCATCTTTCCTCTCCTTCTGGCAGCTGGCTGCTCCCATCTGTTTTGAATTGAGTGATGTATAGGAAAACCACATTCTCCTGGGGAGGGAGCATGGCTAGCCTCTCACTGAGTCTGTTGAGCACATTCTTAGTTTTAGCTTTAGGGAAAGATTTATACTTGACTCTAGCCAGCATTCACCCTGAAACTGCAGAAGATTTAACGTTTCATTGTACTAAAGCGCTTTTCCATGGCTAAACGGAATGTTCTGCGCTCACAAAGCCATTCCCGTGCAGATAGACTTGGCACGTTACAGCAGTAGTGTGAGTGGATTCATATTTTTTTAAAGTTAATTTTATGTTTATTTGCTTATTTTAAAAGCAGCTAAATCTAGCAAATTAAAGCTTAAGTAGCATTTATTTTCTGAATCCTGTTAAAAACCAGCCACAGATAATTACTCATATTTTAAGTGACAGTTCTTCAGGGAAACAATTCCAGGTTTCTCCCTAACCCCACAATGGCACTCTCTCTACCAGATACCTCTTTCATTGCTCTCTCACTCCATCCCTCTGCCAACTTGACTATCCATTCTCTCAATGTTCTCATCCCCCCCCCTCCCCTTTACCACTAGGGAGACTCCCAGGAATCCACAAGGATGACCCCAGCTAGAATCCTAGCAATAGTGGAGAAGGTGCTTGGACTGGACTCCCCCTGTAATCAGATTGGTGACTATCCCAACTGTTATCACAGAGCCTTCATCCAGTAATTGATGGAACCAGATGCAGAGATCCACAACCAAGCACTAGGCTGAGCTCCAGGAATCCAACTGAAGAGAGGGAGGAGGGAATGTATGAGCAATGGAGGTCAAGATCAAGAAGGGGAAATCTACAGACATAGCTGAACCAAACTGGTAGGAACTCACTCTAGACCGAGAGCAGTGGAGCCTTGATTGGACAGGACTAGGCCCTCTGCAGGTGGGAGACAATTGTGTAGCTGGGTCTATCTGAGAGGTCCCTGACTGCAGAGACCAGTATTTGACCCTGGTGCATGTTGGAGCCCATTCCCTATGGTGGGATGTTATGCTCAGCTTTAATTCCTGCTGGGCTGGGGGTTGGGGTGGGGGAGGGGCTTTGTCCTGCTTCAACTTAATGGACCAGGCTTTGTTGAACCCCCATGGGAGCCCTTACCCTGTGGGAGGAATGGATGAGGGGTAGGCTGGGGGAGAGGCAACAGGGGCAGGAGGAGGGGTGGGAGGGAGAACTATGGTTGGAATGCAAAATGAAATAAAAAAAAGACTTAAAAAAGAAATAAAAATGGAAATGGGAAACTTAAAAAATGTTCTCTCATATATTACAGAACATCAAATTAAATCAAATTTAAAGACAGATAATTAAAGAATTCTACAACCAGTTAAGATATAGAGAATAGCTGACCTTGGGATGCCCAGCTTCAATACAGCCTCTACACCTAAGGCTCAGGGAGCATTGAGGAAGAGGGGGCTAGAGACAGAAAGAGACAGAGGAGCAGGGTATCTGCTGAGGGATTGTGTCTTTTATATATGACAGTGAAGCTGCACCTGTGAAATATCAACAAATATGATCTCCTAAACAAGACATATACAATGACAATAGCTAACTTGCCAAAGTGGGTAGGAGAAATCCCATGATTTCAGCCCCTAGGTGATGAATGGCTGATGAGAAAGGGTTGATCAGTATTCTCCAGGGACAAGGCCCCTGGTAGATTATCCAGCCCTAAACACATGGACAGTAAATAGACTCAGCAGGTTGTATTTATACATCCCTGTGTGTATGTGTCTATGGGTACCAATATTTAAAGTAGAGTGATTTTCAGAGGGACTGGGGGAGATGCAGGAGGAGTTGTAGGTGGGAGAGGGAGAGGGTAGAAAGGTTGTAACACAGTACTCATGTATAAAATTCTCAAAATGTTTTTAAAATTTAATTGAAATAGGATTGTTAAGAAAGAGTAAATTTTAGAGAGAATCTGGGGTATCTATGTCTTCCTCTACTTTAGACTCTGATTCTTGATAAATGTGAAAACACTGGGAGAATATGACCACCGAGGATTATTGTTCTTCAGTGCTATGGATTTTCAAAATACCATGGAAGGCCTTTATATATTATATTATTTTATTTTATTTTTTGTTAGATTTTGATTTTGACTGTGTTGTTCCATTAGTAAGTGCTGTTTTGGTTTCATTAAAAATATGTGAATAAGCTGGGCGGTGGTGACACACACCTTTAATCCCAGCACTTGGGAGGCAGAGACAGGCGTATCTCTGTGAGTTTGAGACCAGCCTGGTCTACAAGAGCTAGTTCCAGGACAGCCTCCAAAGTCACAGAGAAACCCTGTCTCAAAAAACCAAAAAAAAAAAAAAAAACCAAAAAAAAAACAAAAAACACCCCAAAAAACAAGTGAATAATTGCATAAATCAATATCCAGTTGAATGACAGAAGCATTTTTTTTTCCCGTAGAGATGTGGTCTTTCCCTTTTTCTGTAACTGCTTGGTCTGCATCACTTGGTTTTCTCAACAGGATCAGAAGTTAATAAAACAGTGGGTTTGCTTTGCCTTTGGTGAATGATGCAAGCTGAAATGACAAAGAAGAGTGATACCTGCTCAGGTGTCTGATTATTGGGAAGGTGGATGACACCCATAGGGAATGGTCCCCTTCCACAATGTCAGATGTGCTAGAAAAATGAAAAAGAAACTAAAGTTTTCTTGGATCTCCCTCATGTAAACCCATGATGTACAAGGATTGGGTGCCCTGGGGTACTTGTGTCTACTAGAAATCACGTGCTTGGTTTTAAGCCTGGCTCCACCTTGTAGATTATTAGATTTTCCCTGCAATTTTGTTCTCATCTCACAGTAGATTTCAACTCCTAAGCCCACGGTTAGGACTAAAGGAGTTATATATTTGGTGTTTAGAAAGGCGCTGGCAGACATCTGTTACTTTGCAAAGGTTCACCATAATTACAGAATGGACTGAACCCCAGCAAGAAGTAGCCAAGACTCTGGAGTTCATCTTGCTTGATTTTATCATGGTTTTTCCTCTAGCTGAGCCTGTGACTCTACCTGGGCCACAGTAACAGTTCTGATGTCACAGGGTGTTTTTGAATTTAAATGAGATAACATATGCAAAACACAGAGAACAATGCCCAACACATGGGATCACTACACAAATGAAACATGGTTATTGTGGATAGCATCTGGTGTCCATTATAAGCCCCCAGAGCATGTAGAAGACATTTATTCAGTTTTCATCAGTTCTAAAAGAGAAACCTCTATGGACAACTGGGCTTTATCTTTGAATTAGCTATGCATTGTTTTCTTTTAAATTCACTATCCAGTATTATGATAAATGGTTAAATACAAATAATAAGTACAAGCAAAAATACATGTTCCGAATGTGAGATGAGGGTGTTGGGGGAGGGGGGACTAATTTTGAAGGATGGATTTTATGGCTTATAGAACAGGAGGAGTGTTGGAGAATCTGAACTCAGAGCAGAGCACACCCTCTGCAGGAGCAGTGCTCTGGGAGAGCCACCAGTGTTTGCAGAGTGTGCACCAGAGGACCCTGACTTCTGCCATTCCTGGGCTGTGCATCTGATACTAAAGGGCCCCCGAAAAGGATATCCTACTATAGAAATGGTGGAAACATGGCTGACTAGGACACCATACTTGGCTCATGGAGCACTGGCAGCAATTAAAGAAGACTCTTATTTTATTTCCTCTAATGGTTGGTTGTGTGAGCACTGGTATTGAGAAAATGACTTCCTTACTGGAAAGATCTTGGGGAAAACTAAATTCTGCCAAACTGCAAAGTGGATGCAGGATAAAAGTGCTGGAATAACATAATGGAAGGACAGAAAGATGGAGATTAGGGAGTGATCTGGTCCAGTTGTTCACCACCACGGCTTCCCAGTCTTCAAAGAATTAAGAGGCGGGTCTGTTCTGCATGCTTTAGGTGTCAGAGCCATCTCAGTCTTCATCTTACACTTCTAGACAACATGCCCAACAGACTCATTGTGTAGGAGAATAGCTTTTACCTCAGAAAAAAAACACAAAAATGCCTTTTCATCTGACAGGAAGTGAGGTTAGATGGGAGAAGTTCAGAGGGATGGAAATCATCTTTCTATCATCTCTCTCAATCATCTATCTATCTATCTATCTATCTATCATATAGCTAACTAGGTTAAAAATTAGGCACTAGATGAAAACTACAGAATCAAAAAGACATGGGATATATAGAAAACAAATGGAAAATTTCAGGCATAAGTTCAAACACATTAGTTATGGTAGTAAATGTGAATGAACACCATTTAAGACAAATCTTGTCAGACTAGATAAAAAACATAGAACAGAACAAATAGCTGTGCATAAGAACCACACATAAGTGAGTTCATATGTACAGCTGCACTACTGTGTCCTGAAAACATTGCTCCTTCATATCTATCCACTTTCTCTGGCTCTTTCCCTCCCTCACCCCACAATGATCCCCAAGCCTTGGGAGGAGGCTGCGCAATATTCTCTGCACCTTGGTTATATCACTGCTCTTCCCTTATCTTGGTAAATTCCACATTTTTGGTTGATTCCATGTGACAACAGTAACTTTGCTATCCACAATGCTTAAGCAATTGCAAGTTTTACCTCTGAAAGCATCTCTCAACTTCAATTTCAAATTAACCTTTAAAAACTATTTCCCGGGAGCTGGAGAGATGGCTCAGAGGTTAAGAGCACTGACTGTTCTTCCAGAGGTCCTGAGTTTAATTCCCAGCAACCACATGGTGGCTCATTACCGCCTTGAATGAGATCTGGTGCCCTCTGCTAGCATGCAGGCAGAAGACGGTATACATAATAAATAAATAAAATCTTAAAAAAATTAAAAAAAAACAACAAAAACAAAACAAAACAAAACATATTTCCCATCAGGTGGTGGCACCTCTAATCCCAGCACTTGGGAGACAGAGGCAGGCAGATCTTGAGTTCAAGACCAGCCTGCTCTATAGAGTGAGTTCCAGGACAGCCAGCGCTATACAGAGAAACCCTGTCTCAGATAAACAACAACAACAACAACTACTCCCGGAACCCCCCCATTTCTCTTTAATTGTTCTGAGCTGTTTAACACCAGAGTAATACAGGGTGGCTGAGACTTTCCTTAAGACAATCTTAAAGCATTGCAAATTAATCAGTGTCATGCCACTGTCTCTTCCTAAGTTTCCACAAATGGCAATAAGATATTTAGTTTTCTTTACATAGGCTATTACCTCACTCATTCCACTGTACTTTCTAATGGGCTTCTGGACTCATCCGTGTGTGGTGCTTTGAACAGCTGGTCCTGGATGGATGCTTAGGTGTTTGTTGGTTTCACGGACAGCTGCTGTTCTCATTTGATGACTTTGTGAGAAGACAGTGACTCTTCACTATTGGCTATCTCACATACACAATTTTATGAGCATGGGGGATAAATCACTTTTCTAAAGATTAAGTCAAATGAAAGTAAATCCTGCTGTAAGGAGATAGGAAAATATTGCACATAGGATTTTAATATAGTTATGAAATAATCAGAGTCTTTGCAGAAGGAAATGAATAAAAACAGTCTAAATGCCCCCTGGACAATGATAGAACTGAAATTTGAATTTAATATTTCTTTACTATAATCTTTCATTATAGAAGTTGTTGGAAAGATAGTCAACAAGAATCCATTTACCAAAACATTAACAATTTTTGTGGGTTCCAAATAGATATTAAAATGCCTAGACTAGTCACTCTTTATGGAGATGAAAGCTTTGAATGTTTTTCCCAAGTGACCTGAAGCAAATAGAGGAGATAGTTGGGACCTAAGTAAACTGACACAGGATGTATATCAATGGCTCCTGGCTTTGAGTCCATGCCTTGTGAGCAGGACATTGATGTCTTCTCTCCTGCTCTGTTTCCACAGGTATTTGTTATGGATATTGCTTGAGACAGCATCTCCTTCAACAGCTAGAGGTATGCTGGCTTTTCAGCATGACAAAGCTGGTTGCAGAGTGGCAATCAGGCTAGCATGTGACCCTTTGCTGTGACATGGAGTCTCTGTGTATTCAGACCCACTCAATTTAATCCACAGGGCCCTCATGGACCTGGTGGTTAAAGAGAACAGATTTAATCATAAAGCTTAATTTTCTTTTAAAAATACTTTATTATTTTATGAGATTATGTGTGTTTGCATGTATGTCTGTGCACCATACCTGTGCATTGCCCACAGAGACCAGAAGAAGTCTGTTCTCCTGTAACAGAATTAATTATAGAAGGTTGTGAGATAACAAGTGGATTCTAGGAATCAAACTCAGCTTCTCTTCAAGAGGAGCCAGTGTTCTTACCTGCTGAGCGAGCTCTTCAGCCCCCATAAAGCTTGGTTTACATAAGGGAAAGTATTTATATTTCAGCTATTTTTACTCATGTCCCTGAGGTCTCAATTCTGTCAGGTAGTTTCCAGGACCATTTCTCTTCTATTTTCAAAGATTCAGGGTCAGATCAATAGTTTCTCGATTATTTTATACTAAACTCAGATGATTAACAGTACCGATCCTGTACCCTTTATGATGCCATAACAGACCAAACTCCAAATCCCAGAAGACGAACAAAACTGTGGTTCTCAGTAGCTGACATGTTCATCAGAATGAGGCAACTCTAGGGGAAGTTTTATCATTCATTCTCTACTTGGTGATAGATTCTGGCTATTCCTGTTTGGGGAATCACCATCTAAATTTGTGTAATGTTGATGACAGAGTATGTGGAGAGAGGGTGAGTGGATGCCTCAAACTCATGCTGTGTGCCTGAGTCCTAGCACTTCCTGGTCATCAGCTAGATGAATCACATGACTTTCCCAAGTAGCCAGGTGGCTGTGAGTTGTAGGAAAATCCATGGACATTTAGTAAACAATAATGGACTCTGTTACTTTCCATGACACCTCTGCAAATATATTAAAAAGTAGGCTGGCTAGTCCCATTATTACACTAATGAAACATTTAACACATTTGAAAAGATTTTATTTTTATTTTAGTGTATGGTGTTCTGCTTGTATGTATATATTTATACCACATGTATGCAGTGCTAGCACACTGAGGCCAGAAGGTAGCATCTGATTTAATAGAACTGGAGCCATGCATGGTTGTGAGTACCACGTGGGTGCTGAGAACTGAACCTGGGTCCTCTGCAAGAACAGCTGGGTCCTCTTAATGGCTGAACCATCTCTTCAGCCCCATCATTTTAGACTTTATAGTCTCATAATAAATTTCAATAACCGGTATACAAAAATCCCTCCCTCCTTTAAACAAAAACAGCTTTGCATTTTTTAAAACTTATTTTTATTCTGGATAAAACCCAAACTCCTTTGGGGAATTTAAAATTATTTCAAGATAATTTTTCTGACATTGTTACTGGAATGAAATCAAAGTGCTACATTAATTTAGGAAGCATTGATGTTTGATAATATTGCCCCTTTGGTATAGAAACAGGACTGGATTTAATTTCTATATCAATAAAGATTAACATTATTTAATAATTCAAGTGATTACAAATATGTATCTTAGTTTTATAATTGTCTCT